AAAGAAATCCGAGTATGTTAGGGTATAGAAATGCTCAGTCAGTGAACCCAAACAATCTTAATTCTGTACGGTAGCAATATCCTGAAATGTTGATTAATACCCGTTAATATGTAGTCTCACTGCATTCATAAGAGTCGCTCTCAGAAACATCACTGGTGTTTGTTTTTCCTCAAAGTTCTTATTTACAACACTATGAATCACAAATTACTCCACTGAAATCATTTGAATTGCTGTAGAGTCACACTGGGGAAGATGGAAGTACAATTTAGCTCAGTTTATCCCTATTCTTGCTTCTTATATATCTGTATTTCTGCATTACAGGAGTATTGATTTTTAATCCACATAATTTGAGAACAAAAATGAAAGATTAAATGATTGCGTGGGGAAAATTAGTAAGGCAAAATAACTCCCACTCTGCAGTTATTGTCACAATCTGCAGGACTGGAACACTCTCAGTTAGCCAAACAGATTCCTGTCTCAGAATAACTCCCTTAAATCTTTCTTTTGTTACTTTAAGTATTTGACCTTTCAGAAACTGTATTTTACTCCAACTACAGAATATTCAGGTATGGCTCTAATGTAGTCATGGGCAATAATTTTTGAAGGGGGATCACTTCACAAATTTCTAAAGTGATCCCAGGCCACTCCGGAAGGGGCAGAGTCTTGGGCAGAAGGGGCTTCCCATGCTCCTCTGCCCACAGCCTCTGATTGTCCTGGGGTGGGGGAACGAGTGGGGGAATGAATGAAGTCTTTGCTCCCTGCCCCCGGTTTCAAACAGCTGGTGGTTCTGTCTAGGTGCTGCGTGCCCCTGGCATCAGGAAAGAATTTGTGTGATCTCCCCTCCCCCAGGCCAATCAAGACCTGGGTGTGGGAGAGCACGCAAAGTCTCTTACTCCCTGCCTCTGCCCTGCCCGGGGCATGCAGTGCCTAGAGGGAACTGCCAGCTATCTTGAAGTTCATGCGCGCCCTTGGCCCCAGGTCACAATTGGCCTGGGGATAGGGGAGCGGCAATGCTGCCGCAGGCTGGATCAATTGCTTTGGTGGGCCAGACACAGCCCATGGAGGCTGTCTTGCCCACCCTGTTCTAATGAAAGAGTAGACTAGACTGCCTGCGAATGTTCAGTTATTTTCAAAGTTTCACCTTTTTGACTACTTCTGTTTTTAAATTGATCTATCAATTCAAATAATAGTAAGCAGCCAATTGTGTGGAACTGTGGTTAGCAAGAGAAGGGAAAACACTCATTGTTCTCTAGACGACTAGTTTCTCCTAATTGTAAATGATGTAACTAACAACATAATGTTGGATGTAGAACACACAGATTCTAAATTATTCCTCCTCCTACACCTAGCTTTAATTTCTCTCTTGATGGGTCATTTGAGCTAGGATCTATAAAACACAGAAATAGCTGTAATGGAAAGTTTTCTTGTGTTTCCTTACTTATGTGTATGGGTTATGTAGTACCATGAAAGAACAAAGCCATATATTTAATAGAGAGGTACAATTTTCAAAAGCACCCAAGTTATTTAGGGGTCTAACCATGAGTGGTGGGTAAACGTAGGGCTGGGGGAAGCAAGCCCCTAACCCCATCCCTTCTGCCCAAAGCTCTGCCCTCCCACAGGAGCCAAGCCCCTGCCTGATCACAAAGGCAAGTCTCCAGCCCACTCCCTCCCCCCAGAACCTCCCCAGGCACAGAGCATGGGGAGGGTGTGTGACATGCAGCCCCTGCCTCCCTGAACCTGGAGAGGGTGCACTGTCCTAGCCTTCCCAGCCTCAGCATGGCTGAAGCCTAGGAGCTGTGCTGAAGCTGGGGTGAAGTGTGGGCAGAGCCATGCCTCCCAGTTTCAGAAGGCATTGCCTTTCCCCGCCCCTTACACCTGCCAGCTAGATTCACAAGAGAGATTTACGTGTCTAATGCTAGTTTAGCATTTCAGAAGGCATTGCCTTTCCCCACTCCTTACACCTGCCAGCTAGATTCACAAGAGAGATTTACGTGTCTAATGCTAGTTTAGCATTTAATTCCAACATTTAGATGTCACTGGTGCCACCGCTCAGCTGCTGCCTCGTTCCGCAGGTGCCTAAATTCCCCATGGTGCTTAAATTTCTGCTGCTGGACACTCACAGAGCTGTTTAAATCCTGACACTGCCATGCTGATTAGCACCAGTCTTACACCCAAGGTCGTGGAGGATTCACAAGCTAGTTGTTCTCCTACCTATCTTGCCTGTGGAGCCTGACCTGGTATGCGTGCTCGGAGCACCTCCAATCTACACAGAGGAGAGACAAAACCCAGGTCTTTCACCTCCCAGATGGGTACCCTAAATGGCTGCTAGGGTATTTTGTGGGTGGGCTGTATGAAGCACACAGTCATTGGACCAGAGAGTGAAAACAACTCTGTAGCCCAGTGAGTTAGGCCCTTCACCAGGAGGTGAGCATTCCGAGTTCAAGTCGCCGCATTGAGTCAGGCAGAGTGGATCTTGGAACCACCTCCTGGGCGAGTTCTCTAGTCCAGGGACATCCCTACTGGTGCTGATGCCCTACGCAGCCCAGCACCAGCACCCTCAACCACCGGGAGAAGCCGTTCTGCACAGGGCCAGTGGGGGCTCAAGTTGTGGGGAAAAGGGGTTGCCAACTCTCCTGGACAAGATGGACTGGACCCCATTTACTGCAATGGTGTATGGCCCATCTGGTCTGGGAGAGTTGGCAGCAGAGGAGCAGGGCCAGAGAGGGAAACGCGGGCTGGAGGAGCGGAAGACCACTGCTAGCTGGACTGAGAGAAGCAGCACTTTTAAGGGGAAAGTGTCACTTCTCTCCAACCACTCAGCCCCCACTTAGCCCTCCAGCCTGCGACAGATGCTCAGTAATCATCTAGGGCATGTCTACACTACCACCCTAGTTCAAACTAGGGTGCTTAATGTAGTCAATCGAAGTTGCAAATGAAGCCCGGGATTTAAATATCCCGGGCTTCGTTTGCATCTTGCCGGGCGCCACCATTTTTAAATCCCCGGTAGTTTGGACTCCATGCCCGCGGCTAAACGC